TGTGAGAAGGTTGGTTGTCCCTGCCAAAAATGTAAGCTTCCTTGTACCAGTTTGAAACATTTATAATTCATCTTCACTGTTTTTTTCCTCAGTGCCCATAAGAATTAGCCAAGACCTGTTCAACTTCTCTGGTATTATTATTTTCCTACTTCATAGTGCCCTAACTTGTTCCTTATATTCCTTGAGTTCTTTTTTTTCCTTTTAAGAGTCTTTATAATCCTGCCACAGTTTTTTTTTTAACAACTTCACACGTGCTACCATGTCCCTGTGTATAACACTTCTAATTCCCAATCATGTAATATCCTTTACACTTGTCCCCATATCCTTAGGCACATGCTCTTCTTGACATGCCTTCCCCACTGCCCCCTCCCTTTGTTTCAGTCTATATTTCTAAGTAGTTTTTATTGAAGTACAGTTGCTTTACAATGTTGGGTTAGCTTGTCTGGCACAGCAAAATGAACCAGCTGCTCATATATACCCCCTCTTTGGATTGTCCTTCCGTTTAGGACATTGCAATGCCTTAACTAGAGTTCCCCATGCTATATATACAGCATTGGTCCAATCTTTATCTTCTTTCTTTACAGATTCAGTCAACACCGACTATTTCCTCTTTCCTTTGATTATACTCTCACAATGATTTCTTTTTCTCTACTGGGCCTCCATGAGACACAGTTGCCTACCTAATTTTTTCCCAGTGGTTTTAAATAAGTTTTACTGGAACACAACAATGCACATTCCTTTAGATTTTGAGTGAGGCTTGTGTGTGTGTATTCTAATGGCTTCTTTTTTGTTATTTTGATTGTGGCAAAATATACATAACATATACCTTATCATTTGAACCATTCTTAAGTGTACAATTCAGTGACATAAAGTACATTCACATCAGTATGCAACCATCACCACTATTCATCTCCAGAACATTTTCATCATCCCAAACTGAACTTCTTACCCATTAAAAACCTCCCTAATCCCATCTCCCTTAGCCCCTGCTAATCTCTATTCCACGTCCTTTCTGTATAAATTTGACTATTCTAGGTATCTCTTGTAAGTAGAATCATATACTATTTTCTTTTTCATTTTATGACTGGCTAATTTCACTTAGCATAATGTTTTCAAGGTTCATGGATGTTGTAGCATGTATCAGAATTTCCTTTCCTTTTAACTTTGAAGAGTACTCCTTTGTATATATACACTGTGTCTTGTTTATCCATTCATCTGTCAATAGACAGACATTTGGATCATTTCCACCTTTTGGCTGTTATGAATTATGTGTTGTGAACATTGGTGTATAAATATTTGTTCTAATCTTTTCTTTCTAGTTCTTTTGGATATATACCCAGAAGTGGTATTTTTGGATTCTGCCTAATTTTAATTAACTTTTACTATGTGAACTGCTGTTGCCTTGTAAGCTTTGTGACATTAGTGGTTCTGTCTTAGTCTTCTTTATCAGACCTGAGCACAGTCCCTGACATAATAGAGATTCAGTCTTAAATGGGATTTTATGGGGATAAATAAAAGAAGGAATCATCTCCCTGTTCACACAGAGAATACACCTTCAATGAGAGTGGGTATGGGCTGCTGTTACTTAAGTGCCTGCTGCTCATTCTGAGTCTCCCCAGAGTGAGCCCTATGGCAAGTCTAAATTACCAGCACTGATTCCTCAAGTAAATCTATTTTCTAAAAATTGCAGGTTCTTTATTTAAATAATTGAATGTTCAAAAATATATGGTCTGATTCTCACTGCCATTATAATTAAGTCCTAGAAGGCAGGGATATATCTCCCTTTTATGTTCTGAGTACATTCAGTGCCTGACATATGAATTTGTTGAATGAATTAATCAAGAAATCAGTTCATAAATTTATAGCAGCTTTTCCACATGGAGAAGCTTCTCCCTTCTACTGCCACATGAGGAATCCCCAAATGAAATCTAGATGATGGTACTTTCTTGTTCAAGAGTTATTAATCTCCCCTGAGAGTGAAATTCTAGGAACTTGTTGTATCTATTTTGTATAATGAAAATGAAAGTATCATGGCAAATTGTTATTTGCATGTATAGGAAAAAAATCTATGTGAATGCCCAGTAATTTGAAATATTGATATTTACTTCAGCACTGAATTAGGAAAATTTTGCATGGGATACTACTAAAATTCAACTGTCCAAAGAGAAGCATCTACATTGTAGAAATAAGTTGACTTGTAATGTGTTATACTGGCAGTATCACCTTGACTTTTTATACCCAAGAAAATCAAGGTCTTTCACCTTAGCCAGCTTTTAGGATGTCTGGTCAGCCACTCTTCAGTAGAGCCTTACTTAAATGTCTCTTTATATGCTGGCCATTTTTTTCAGGCTTACTTTTCTGTAGTGTCCATGTGGTATCATCTTCACATCTAATTTTCTGCATAGCTTAATAATACCCTCTACTCTAAATTATATTTGGAATTAAACTATGGACTTGTATTTAGGTCTTTTATCTTTTCTTAAATGATTCTGCATTTTTTTCCTGTAACAATTATTTGTTTTAAGCCAGTCCACCAATAATTTGTATGTAGTTGGTTTATAAACATAAATTTAAGTATTAGATTATCCTTTGAACCTCCAAATAACTTCATGTGGGGAGAACATGGGAGTAATTTGGTGATGAAACTGAAGAGTAGCCTTTTTGTTGTTTGCCCACATAGCTCCATAGTTTTAAAAGTTATGGTTAATAACATTTAGAAAATTAAGATGAATGATAAGGAATATATTTTAGCATTGAGTGAGAAATGGTAAACCCATCTTACTGTAGGAAGAAACGAGAGGGAAAGACAGAACTAAGTGTAACAGTAAGGGTTTAGAGCCTGAGAGAATGAAAGGTTCAACCAAAATGAATCTTGCCTATTTAGTGAAGCTACCTAGAGGAGAATAAATGGGAAACTCTCTCAAGTCAGTGCCCTCAGGACAACAAAATGACAGAATCTTGAAGATAGTCAAAAGAAAATGTAACCAAAGGCATCAGTGAGCCTAGGATAGTAAGTAAGGAGAGAAACCTGAATGAATTTTCAACCTTCAATGCTTGCTCTAACAGTTTCACTTCCATTATGTAGACCTTAATCTGAAGTTGCATATTTGCTTTAATTTGATATATTTTTAGAGTATCTCTAGATGCTCATTTTTTTTTGGTTAACCTTTTTTTGAGATAATGATAAATTCACATGTAGTTATAAGCTATAATACATGTGCACCCTTAACTCAGATCTACCCCAGTGGTACATTAACCTTATTTATAATATTACCGTGGACATCAACAATGATACAATCCACAATAGTATTCCTCAGTGTGCATGTGCACATGTTTTTTTAGTTCTTTACAACATTGTCACATGTGTACATTTGTGTATCCTTCATCAGAGTCAAGTGAAGAATAGATCCATCACTACAAGGATGCCTTGTGCTACCCTTGTATAGACACATTCACCCACCCCTCCAATCCCACCCCAGTTCCTAACCTCTGGCAACTGCTACTCTGTTCTTCATTTCTATCATTTTGTCTCTTTAAAGCTGCTATGTAAATAGAATCATACTGCATGTTACCCTTTGTTATTGGCTTTAATTTTTTTCACTCAGCATGATACCCTTGAGATTCACCTAAGTTGTGGCCTGTATCACCTGTATCAATAGCTGTTCCTTTTCATTGCAGAGTGGTAGTCTGTACATCCATGGTATGGATGTACCAATATGTTTAACCATTCACCCTTGAATGGCATCTGGGTTGTTCCCAGTTCTTGACTGTTACAAATACAGCTAGTATGAACACTTACTTAAGATACAGAGTTTTGTATAAACATAAGTTTTCATTGCTTTGAATAAATGTCTAAGAGCCCAGTTGCTGGATGTATGGTAAGCACATGTTCACTTTTGTAAGAAACTGTCAAAATGTTTTCCAGAGTAGTACTATTTACATTTCTGCCAGCAAAGCATGAGTGACCCAATTTCTCTATTCCTCATCAACATTTGATATTGTCATTATTTTTAAAAAAATTTTTTGCCACTATAATAAGTCTGTAGTGCTAGCTCTTTATGGTTATAATTTGCATTTCCCTAATGGCTAGTGATGTTGAATATCTTTTCATGGGCTCATTTGCCTGATGTTTATGTGTAACCTGACTCCACCTAAAAATGTTAGGAGTGTGAAGGACAGGAGAAAGGATTTGTCTTGAAAAAATAAAACTCTACCAGATTTTAATTCCCAAATCCACTCCCAGATAGAGAAAAGAGAGCTGGCCATTAACTCCATTTCTTATTGTTGTTGTTTAGTCCCTAAATTATGTGTCCGACATTTTTGTGACCCTATGGACTGTACCACCCCTCCCTTGCCCAATGCCCCCAGGCTCCTCTGTCCCTAAGATTTCCTAGGCAAGAATACTTAAGTGAGTTGCTATTTCCTCCTCCAGGGGATCTTCCTGACCCAGGGATTGAACCTGAGTCTTCTGTGTTAGCAGGCAGGTTCTTTACCACTGAGCCACCTGGGAAGCCCTAACCCCATTGTTTAGTAGAGTTCTAACAGGTATTTCCAAAGCAAGGACATTTCAGTCAATTGCAGTCACCCCTAATTACAATAGCACTCCCTTGAGCTAGATCAAAGGGTTGATGAAATGTCTTTTTTTGAGTTTCAATTATGTACTAGGAAGCACTTCTTAATTGCAGGCATCTTTTATGAATTAGCTTTGTAATATATTTTATTTGGAGATACTCTTACTGGACTCTCTAATCTGCAGTAATTTATTTATATACTAAAAGTACATTTATTTCCTCTCTCTTTGTAAATGTTTGGAGACATTCGTTTGTTACAGAAAGTGCAGTTACAAATTGCAGTTTGTTTCATTTTTAGATTATTTTTCAAAAGCTATAATGCTGCTTAGGCTCTGGAAATAGCTAAATGCAATTACCTTAGCATTTTGTTTTCTTTTCAAACAGTCATTTTGTCTGCTTCCTTCAAATGCTTCCCTTTATCTTTAACAGGTTGATTTAGTGAATATCGGAAGCTCTGACATAGTAGATGGAAATCATAAACTGACTCTTGGCTTGATTTGGAATATAATCCTCCACTGGCAGGTAAGAATCCTTATGAATTTTTTTTTTGGAGGGGGAGTACAGTGGAAGGGGAGTTAACACATTGCTGATCCTTCCTTTCATTTTCACCCTTGACCTGCAAAACAAATGTGTATCTCTAACAATGGAAAGCCCATCTCCACAGTGCTTCATTTTAAATTGGGATGATTGTCATTTGCATTGTGAGGTATCAGCAGATTATAAAACAGGTTCTAGTACATTTGCAGAAATATTTTCCTAAATTTTATTTCACTGGGTACAAATGAGGGGGAAAAATCTCATCAATAGGTTAATAAAACTATTTTCAAATATATGTGTCTTCTGTAACTCACCTAACAGTAAATCTACATGGTTTTGTAAGAAGAGAAGTATTTTTTTCTGTTAATCACTATCAGATCAATAAGAGTTTGTGAAGCATGTGTATTCTCAATGTAAACTAATGCCAATAAGAGATTACTGGGATATGGTGATCTGTATATCTGTTATATACACAAGTTCACTTCATAGTTTGATTTGGAAACTGTATTTTTTTTTTCCAGAACCACCTCAGCAAGGGTCTTTTTTTAAAAAACATTTTATTTTATTTTTAACTGGAGGATAATTGCTTTGCAATATTGCGATGGTTTCTGCCATACACTAACATGAATCAGCCATAGGTATACCTAATCTCCCCCACCTCCCTCCCCATCCCACACCTGTAGGTTGGGGTCACAAAGCCCTGGCTTTGGGTTCCCACCAAAACAGATCACAAGTCATTTGGTTTAGTGAAGATTATGTAATATTTTATTCAGACTGATTTGAGCTTAAGTTTAAACTTCCCCAGTTACCATCTTAGTGACATTGGATATAATGTCCTCCATTTCTGGACCAAAATTCCCTTACTATCAAAAGTAAAAAAAAATAATGACCATATATATTTCTTATCAGAATTAAATGAGAGAATTCCATAAAGCACTCAGTACAGAGTAGCATTTTCATGAGAGGCATATCTTGCCAATAATGCTTTATTTCCCACTCACATTTTAAAAAGTGGAGGATAATTGAGATGCTGGCCCTTTTTAGTAGTAGAGATTATTTTTTTTTAATAAAACAGCTTTTTTTGAGATCAAAGGTATGTATCATAAACGTACCTGTTCTATGTATAAAATTCAAAGTATACCAACTTGGTTTAGTTGTGTTGCCCAGTGCTCCTCAAACTATTTTGACCCAATCTGTCAAAGATTTTAGAATAGCTACAGAATAGTACAGTCATCACAACAATCTAATTTTGGCACATTTCCATGATTCTGAAAATAAATCTCGTGTCCATGTTACCATCACTCCTCTTTCCCACCCCAACCCTAGGAACCATTCATCTATTTTCTGTCTCTGTATGTGTGCCTTTTTGGACATTTCATGCCCAATGCACTCATACAATATGTATTCTTTTATATCTGGCTTCTTTCACTGAACATAATCTTTGAGGCCCATTCCTATTGTGGCAGGTACCACTACTTCCTTTAGTAAGGTTGACTTTCATCTTGAATTGTAGATTGGTCCTGCTCAGAGGCAGGCAGCATGTAGACCAGAGGTATACCTATTCAACTCAGCACCCATATTGTTCTCCCAATTGACTCGCATATCTTTTTATTCTCAACACTCTGAACTGGCTTAGTCCTATTTTATAGCAATATGGAGAGAGAGAGAGAACAAGCATAGCAGCTCACAGCAGAGAGTAGCTCAAAAGAGCCCAAGGTTCCCAATTCGGGGCCTTTTTCATGTAGCGATGGTGTCAAATAGAACCAGCAAGGCAGCATAGGGCCCTCCACCAAACTGGTTTCCTTCTGTCGCTCAGTACTTCTCAAACTATCTTGAGGAAGGAACCATCCCGCACCACCGCCACACCCCCCCCCCCTCGCTGTTCCATTGTATATAAATTACAATGAAATTGCAGCATTATGAAAATAAGCTTCTTCTTTATCACCAAACTCAACAGACATAAATAGGACCCTATAAAATTGCTACAGATGTTTCTAATGGACTATCAACAGTTGTTTTTATCTTATAGCCCAATAACAAATTGTTTATGTTGTAGCCACGCGTTCCGGGAAACAAACTCACTCAGAAGGACAATGCAGATAGTGGAGTGCAGTTTATTACACCGGTGGGCCCAAGGCGGAGTCTTCTCTTAGCCAAGGACCCCAACCAGTTTTTGTGAAAACCTTATATACCCTAAGTGTATAAGGTTCCCTGAAACTAGTCTGAACAAAGGAAAAAGAAAGAGACAATCAAAGTCAACCCGTGATTCATAAGCCTTAAGCCTAGGTAGTTAACAGTGGACAGTTATCAATAGGCCTATGGTCATACCCCAATAAGCATAATAGAATGTATGATTCTATTCGGTTACACAGATAATTAGAGTATTCTTTTAGGCAACGGAGAGCCCTGGGGCTCTTTCTTCCAGGGGCCCGGTTTTACAGTTGGTATGTCATTTCCATAGATACTGGGCATATAACTCTAAGTCCACAGTCCGGACCAAGATGGAGTTCTGCTTTCAAGATAGAGACTGTTCTGTTTGTTCCTTCATTCATGGAGAGACCCCAGAGTGCAGAAAATACTTTGAGTTGCACAAATAGTGGTCATGACAAAGCCAGCAGGAGAACTTAGGCTTGCTCAGAGCCCCCAAACTCTATTTTAATTGTATCCCTCACTCAAACTCTCTCATAGTATCTCACACTTTCTTATTTCCTCAAAAGCCTTTGCGATTTTATCTCAACTCACTGCAGGATGGTTTCAAAACCACCCTGTCTGATCTTTTCTTCCTTTCCTTGTGAGTGTGCTCATTTTTATTTTATTTTTTTTTAAATTAACATGGGGAAGGACTTTCACATGAGAAGTAGAGAAGGAATGCTTTTCCAGTCTTTCTTCATCTGAGACTTCTCTTACAGTCTTCTTTTTTCCCTGTATGTCCTTGCATCACCATTTCCAATTGATTGCAAGGATGTAGACTCTTTCCAGCCTCTGCCTCCTTCCCTCTCTTCTATCACACTGTCCTGTTCTCCTAAAACTTTGAAAACACTGTTTAAGAGTAATCCCCACTCGGTACTCCTCATCATAACCCAGTGAATCACAAAAGATATTTTCACCAAGAGTGCATATTTGCCTTCCTGTTAAATAGTCAAAAAGCCCTTGAATCTCAGTCAAGATTAAAGGACATTCTGGACAACCTAATATACTTTCCAGGCCTATCAGGTTAAGAAGGACATGAAGTGATGGAAAGATGTTAATCTTTGGTTCCAGTGTCACATATTTTGCTATTACTAGTACTGCAGTGGCCTTCTCTCTGAACTTGCAGAAACTCTGGAATGCCAATCCCATCTCCTCTGTCACTGGATTTCCAATTTCTACTTAAATGAAATCATTAGCTGGAAAAATAATGCCTGTATTGAGGAGCAAGCAACCTTGAGCAAAATTGTGAAGTAGAAAATATGTGTTACGTGTCCTTTTCTTACATCTTTTCAAAGTACAAACTATCTTTTTTTGTGGGGGAGGGGCATTCAACTCAATTCTGGGAACCAGCTGGAGATAAAAACACATCCTGCTAATGAAGGTGAATCCAGCCCCTGTACCCTGACACAGAATTAATTCTCAGAGACAGAGCTTTGGCTGAAGTAGAAAAGAATAGCTTTATTGCTTTGCCAGGCAAAGGGGGCCACAGGCGGATTATGCCCTCAAAACTGTGTGACCACACCTGGGCGGGGGGTGCATAGTGAGGAGTTTTATAGTAATGGTTCAAAGAAAAGGGTGTGATCAGCTCATGGATTTTCTTTTGGTTGGTTGGAGGGAAGGTAAGTGGGAATCAGCATCATCAACCTTCTGGTTCCAGCCAGTCTGGGGTCTACAGTGCTTGTAGACTTCCAGTCATTTCCTGTTAATCTCTTGATTGTTTTCTTGAAGGCTCCTCCCTGTCTCTGTATCCCCTTACTTCCCTATTTGAACCTGCTGACTGGAACTCAGGGAAGGTTTTGGAGACTGAAGGGAGCCTATTTTCTGTAATTAAGAACTGGGGGACACAGGAAGGCTTTTATGTCCAGGGGTCTCACAGGGTTCTTGCTCAGTATCAGGTTGAGCCACTAAATTGAGCCGGTATCAGTTCGGCCCCCACCTTTGCTGGCTGCCTACAAAGAAATACCCAGTTGCAGGGCTCCTTCACACTAGAATATTTGTATTATCTTATATGGACAAGAGAAAGATGGATTTTGTGCTGCTTAAAGCCCTTTCTGTTGTAACCTCCTGCCTACCTAGAGCCTTCTGGGCAAAACAGGCCTTAATCTGGTCTTCTGCAGGTCTTTCACACACTACCATCCATTCTTTGTCTTAAGAGAAAACTACTCCTTCCTCTCTTCAGTCATGCCCCTCTGCGGTAACTCCTTTTAGGCACAGCATGAATTCTGGGACACAGACTCTGAGATTGCAGGCAGGATGTTAATGGATATGCACCCAAGAGCCTTCTTGAACTCTGTGGAGAGCTGGGAGCTAGAATGAGCCTTCAGAGTTGTCCTGAGTGGCGCTGACATGGTTGAGTCTTCATACACTTTCCCTTCATCAGTTGATAGGTGGGTTGCCCTAGGAGGGATGTGACCTTAGGTGACATGCCTGAGCAGCTCAAGCAGTTCCTGAGGGGACTCAGGGGTAACTTCTGCTCATGACAGTTGGAGAAACAAGCCCCTTCCTTAAAGGAGAATCCTGGTAGTACATCTCCATGTCTATCCCACCTTCTTTGCCACATTAACTACTGGTCATTTTTTTTAAATGAGTGCTCAAAGACATTTCTTTTTTTTTTCTTTTAAAAATAGCTGTATACACCCCCCCAACACACACACACACATACAGTTATTTAATAAATAACTCTCCAAGGGTCAATGAGCTCTGAGGGTGGGGGATTTTTTATTTTTTCGCTTCAAAACTCACCTTAGGAGCAGTTCAGTGTCTGACTGACTGTGTGTGCTTAGTCACTCAGTCGTTTCCGACACTTTGTAACCGTGTGGACTGGGGCCCGCCAGGTTCCTCTGTCCACGGGATTATCTCTGCAAGAATACTGGAGTGGGTTGCCATTTCCTCCTCCAGGGGATCTTGCCAATCCAGACATCGAACCCACGTTTCCTGCATTACAGGCAGGTTCTTTACCCACTGAGCCACCGGGGAAAACTTGTCTGACTGAGATTGATCCTTAATACAGATTTCTTGGGAACTGTCTTTTATGTAGGAATATGAGAACTGTTACCTCACATTGCCCTTCATAATTCTTTTTTCTCAGCAACATTTGCACCCAGGTAGAATCAACAGCAATGAGGCTGAGGCTGATAAGCTGAATTAGTGACATAACGATGCTAAAGGAGCTTTGGATTGAATACTCTGTCGTCCTTTAACATTATGTGCATAGAGGGCAGTCTGGCCAAGCATTTCACAAATGAATCCCATTCATCATGGGAGGGCTGCCTGATCAGTGCAAATCCATCACAACCCCTGAGCCAGTATATGCTATTCCCACCCTGGTTCAGCACAGGATTCATCTGACGGTCTCTATACATGGAGGCTGCGTAATTTATAACTTTAGAATATGATAAGGAAAATGACATATCTTACATAACTATTTGACCTATTTATTCACTAAGTAACTGGCTAAATAAGCAGGTCAAGAAGGAATTAAGAAAACTGGATAATCCACCCCTACATAATAGATTTAGCTATCAAGGGATGGTGACAAATGTATGCAGAGATTTCACATCTTCACATCATTACCACGTTTACAAAATATCATCTTAAACCCTTTTCAAGTATTTTAAAGTTCGATTTAATAGTCTATCCTAAAATTTGCTTTGAATCTTTCATAAAAGGATGACTAACACTGGAGATGTTAAAATATGTATTTTCCCCAAAGGCATTTGTTAACTTCTGCGTGGATGAAGAAGCAAAATAAAATGTCATATTTAGAATACACAATAAATATTTATCATCTGATCAAATGTTGATAGTCTATGGACCTTACACTTGCTGAAAGGGAAGCCCTTGGTGGTAAAACAAGTCACATTTACTTATATCTTTCCCTTAAGTATGTGATAAGGGGCCTGGCTTATATTAAAGAAGTAGCCTGGTAATTATTCCTTTAACAGAATATGTAGATGGTCTGTCCCATAATGAGGTGTCAACTTCATGCTGGAAACCTAGAAAATGGATTTCTGCGTCAGTGTAGTTTGAAGAATGACAACTGGAAATACAATCACCTGCTGAATGGCATTTGTACCTACACAGAGCCAAGGAGAGACTCAAATGGACAGAAACCAATTCATAAAAAGAAAACTAAATCTGGTCTTTTCCTCCTCCTCCTGCAGTTTTGGTGTCTGCTCCCTTTAAGGGAGCCGGGTAGGCGGGGCCCAACCAACGCCACCACGTGACCTCCGGGCCCCTCCCAGAACCTCCCGCGCACCTGCTGGTGCACTGTTGGCGAACTGGCCGCGTTCCCTTCTGTGCTCGCTCTGAGGCCGCCCCCTGGTGGCAGAGTCGCTTCTCTCCCGCAGCCTCTGCCTTCTTCACCGCGCTCTTGTTGGGGTCCCTGCGGGCCCTCGATTTTTTCCTCGCTGCTGCCGGCTGATGAACAAGCGGCAGGGCTGGTGCAGGCCCCTGTTGGACTTTCTAGGAGACATCACAGCGGCCCTCATCTCCTTTGCCATCTCCATCACACCTGTTGCCAAGTAACTGGGACGGGGCTGCCTAAGCGGCCCCAGCGTTGGGTTTTCTTGGTCATCATGCTGTTTGCTCTTGACTTCAACCTCATCTTTTGCAACATGGCCGAAATCTCAGGCCAGGGGACGCTGCAGAGATTACCACAGCCGACAAGGCAGAAGTAGAGAATTCTGACGGTGACTCTGGAGGTGGTCCGGGGATTGTGTGTTGGGAAGGAGGCTATGACTTCTCAGAGGAGCAGTGCGAGCTGCTGATGGAGCCGGCCCCCTGACCGCCCCGGGGGGATGGTCCTGAGCCCAGCACACAAGATGGCATCCTTTGGCTTAGCACCATCTAAGCTCTCTGCGCGTGTGAGCATTTTGAGTGTTCTACCACATATCTCCACATCTGCTTCACTGACCTGAAACCGTTTCACGTCCCTGCCCAAAACAAGCACAAAGGGACTCCTTACCCACCCTTCGTGGGAAGGATTTCATGCTGCCGGCAGAGGGGCAAATAAGGCAGAAACCAACCCAGGCCAACCTGCCGGCCCGTCATTTTTGTCTGCGGCTGGTGCTCTGGTTCACGCCAGACACTTTGTTGAGAATCATCTTTCAAGATTCTTTTGTTCAAGGAGCACCATCTCGAGGCAGGGAGAAAACTGACCTTTGTCCTGTCTTCTGCTGCTGCTAAGTCACTTCAGTCGTGTCCGACTCTGTGCGACCCCATAGACGGCAGCCCACCAGGCTCCCCCGTCCCTGGGATTCTCCAGGCAAGAATACTGGAGTGGGTTGCCATTTCCTTCTCCAATGCATGAAAGTGAAAAGTGAAAGTGAAGTCGCTCAGTCATGTCCAGCTCTTCGCGACCCCATGGACCGCAACCTACTAGGCTCCTCCATCAATGGGATTTTCCGGGCAAGAGTACTGGAGTGGGGTGCCATTGCCTTCTCTGGTCCTGTCTTCTAGGAGTGGGTGAATCTGGGTGCCCATAACTGGCCAAGCCTTTCACAAATGAATCTCATTTAATCATGGGAGGGTTTCCTGATAAGTGCAAATCCATTCCCGCTGCTGAACTAGTTAGGTTTAAGTTTGTGTGCTTCTTGTTCATGCATTTTCTTATGAAAATTTCTTTCCACACATAGGTCAAAAATGTAATGAAAAATATCATGGCTGGATTGCAACAAACTAACAGTGAGAAGATACTCCTGAGCTGGGTCCGACAATCAACTCGTAATTATCCACAGGTTAATGTCATTAACTTCACCACCAGCTGGTCTGATGGTTTGGCCTTGAACGCGCTCATCCACAGTCATAGGTAAGGAGATTTCCGAGACACTGAATAATTTTTTGTAAGTATTAATTTAGAGACTGATGTATTTTTGTCCAGGCTGGTTCCAGATCATTTTCCACAATGCAACGTATTTTTATGTTGACCATATTGATCTATCCATCCATTGGGATGCTCTGAATAAGAATATCCTGTTTTTAAAGTGATATATCACTTAGTTTGAAACAGTAAAACTATCAGAGCATGAATGTGATTATGATGGGGGAGGGGATCAGCACCTTTGAAATTGAGACTCTGCCAGAAAATCAAGGTTACATTCTAACTCTGCCAAGAATAGAGTTTGTCTTTCTGTACAAATAATGTGTTAATATGAGCCTCAACTCTAGCATTAAAAATAGTTGCAGATCTTATGTGAGTGGCTGTAGTACAATTAATTACCATCATCAGATTAATAATGTGAAAAAGAAACATTTCTCTTGTCAGATACACACTTAGATAGCAAAAACTATAAGGCCCTGCATATGTGTGTGTGTGTATAGATATAATATATATAATATACATTTTGGGGTTAAAAGAGGTTCTGAGCATCTTAGCAACCAAGGCAAAGAGCAGACCACAATTAATTCTGTGACTCGGTGCTCAGAATAACAAAAGAAACAACTGCTCTGTAATAGCAGAGCGATTCCTGTAAAGTGTCAGAGAGAGTTGTTCTGTCCGTCTTCATAAGAGGAACTCAGTGTGGCATAGTGAACCAAATGTCCTTAACTGTATTCACACTATTTTCTAAGATAACAAAATAGTTGTTTGCTTTTTCTTGTATAAAGGAGATCAGTAAGTGAATTAATAACAGTTCAAGAAAAAGCAAAACAATATGGTAAATTCATGCATTATATATAATGAATGCATTCATATACATTCTATGTATGATACATTATCCATAAGGAACATCTGCTTTGGTTTTCTTATTACCCATTTCTTTTACCCAGCCCAGTCCCCAGGGTCAAATGCTTGCCTTATTAACTGTGTTTGAAATGCCACTGGTCTGCATTTCCCTGATTTTCAATGCAGTTTATCTTTTCTCATTTTGATCTTACGCTTCTCGACAGGTCTACTCTACCATTTTCCTGTACCAATCTTGCTTCTAGAAACGTCCAGAATATAAATTTTCTTTCTGGTTTACCAGTCTGGGAGCAAACGCTCTCTAAATAAGCATCTTTGTCAGGTGTCTTGCTCCAGCTGGGTTTAATTAACCCCATCCAGACTGAGTTTCCAGGTGAATGACTCAGCAACCTGATTTTGGAAAGGAGGCAGGCTCACTCTCAGTTGGCATGTTAAACAACGTTAAAACGTTGTTTTCCCCCACGTGTGACATGAAGAAAAATATTCCACAGCTTCAATAAAGCCAGATGAGAGGGGATAGAGACGTTCATTCTGCATTATAAGGCAGTGTTCATTTATGCATGCTTCACGGTAAGGGCCAGAACATATTGATCTTACTGTTCATGTACACATTTGCAGATGAACAGAAATATTGAGGATCAGGTTATGTGGTTCTTGTTGGCTTGCTAGCATTTTCTTTTCAAGTGGACGACTTCAGTCCTGCCAGCATGTTCACAGACTACATTTGTTAATATTTTATTTCATGATTTCTGAATATAGTTCTAAGTAATTCAGTAAACATATGTAGGTTTCACTCCCTGTCCCTGACCTACTCTTTGCCTCTCCAAATATCCCCGTTGATATATTCTTCTGTCATATTGAATGAATCACCAGCAACTCCTTTTTTATACATAACATGGTTACTTCTCAAGAGGTTTCTCAAAGTTGCTAATACTCTTTCATGAATCATCTTTGTCTTCTTTTTGTCTCTGACAAATGTTCATATTGTTTATCTAAAGAGAAAGAAAATGGTTGAACTTTTTGTTTCAGGATGATTGTCATTGAAACACAGGAATGTAATGAAGTGTCCTGATTTCAGTAATTGAGAGATTATGTAGAACAAAGGTGTGAACTTGATAAAGAGCAGAGGAATTGACAAAGAGCCTTGCCAAAGATCAGTCTGTCAGTGGTTTTATTTTTCTTTAAGGCTAAATTTTCTCTTAATATGTAAGGAATTACAAGTATTAAAAGACAGAATTCACTACAGTGCAGTTAAAAGAAAGCCAGATTCTACTTCTGTGGGAAAAACAACCAAATGATAATTAGCTTAGCTGGTAAAGAATTCACATGCAATGCAGGAGACCCCAGTTTGATTCCTGGGTTGGGAAGATCCACCAGAGAAAGGAAGGATAGGCTGCCCACTCCATTATTCTTGGGATTCCCTGGTGGCTCAGATGGTAAAGAATCTGCCTGCAATGCTGGAGACCTGGGTTTGATCCCCAAAAATGTTGGGAAGATCACCTGGAGAAGGGGACAGCTACCCACTCCAGTATCCTTGCCTGGAGAATTCCATGGATAGAGGAGCCTGACAGGCTACAGTCCATAGGGTTGCAAATAGACACAATTGAGCGACTTTCACAAGACATAAGACATGCTCAAAATATGCAAATAAATTGCACTAAGTATACAGTTGCAATAAAATTTTCTTTCTAATTTCTTAGTTTATTCCCATAGAAGTAACATAGCACATGATTTAGAAACAGTCAGACATTAGGGAAGAAAAGGGAAGAAAGAAAGAAAATATATCTTCCTGATCCCAGTCCTATTCCAGCACACACTACTTGCTAGTAGTTCCTGGTGGCGACTTCTTTTATTCTCTCTGATAGTTTTCATAATTATAAATATTTTATTTCTTGATTAATTCATTTCTGACAGTAGATGGATTTATTCCTTAAGGTGAAGCCCACACATCTTACATCTCATCCCCATCTATTTCTTGATTTCATTACTATGTTATAATCATTTTATTCTTACAGTTGTTGCCTGTGTGACTTTAAATGACAATTGTATACCTATTTTCATCAAGTTTAGACAAGGTCTGTTCACCACCTGAAAAGAAAGATGAGGAAATTATCATCCTTATATATACTTCCTCCTCTTCTCTCTACCTTCTATTCTGTTATTATAATATTATTCTTGCATCAGTGGTATTGTAAATTTATATCTCTTCTATAAGTTTAGGTGTTCTTGGCTTAACTCTATAAATTGAAAGTGTTTTACTGTTATTTTATAAATATAATTAAGCTTAAAACAAAGTAATAGAAGTTAGTGTTTTGAAGCAATTATTGCTGTGTAGGCACTGTTCTAAGGACAACGGCCCACCTGTTTCTCATGACATGCATACTATCATTGTCCCCATTTCACAAATTGGGAAACTGAGGCACAGGAGAGGTTATATGATTTATCTAAGACCATTTGACTGTGTCACCCAAAATAGAAAGATAAAAGGAGGCAATCCCAAACGATCAGAAATTGAGTTTATTCAGGAATAACAGAGGAACTGCAGTTTGGGAAACTTGCTATAGTGAGATACAGGTGAGTCTGTTGGCAGTTTGGGGCAGACTGTGTGTATGGGCAAGGATCGCAGAGGGAACAGTCCAGCTTGAGTGCAGGCAGTAAGCTCATTGCCTTAAGGATGGGAAGAGATTCTGAGTGGATATTCATTGGTTGGGAGATAAGGCTTGATTTCTGTAAAGCAGGCATTTATAGAGAACTAGCCTCTGAATTCTTACATTCATTCTTCTTAAGGCACGTGTTTGGAATTCTCCATTTTGTATCCTCTGGTTCCACTTCTGATTGAAATATGTTCACAGTTAATATGTGGTAGAGCCCAGGTTTTGGATTCATAGAGGACTCTGCTAGGCTATGCTATCTCACTCAGTATGTCAGTTTTCTCAGAAGGCTGGTGATCCTTGATTGCACGTTCTTATTTATGAGTTATAGTCTAGGTCAGCATGGGAGGAGAGTATGTGGCTTTCCTCTTCAGTTGGTTAGTTTTACAATTCTTTATGCATTTGAAAATCACAGTTACTTAAGTGTTAATAAATGGTGTATTTTAATAACATTTTATTAGATTGATTTTAATGCTAGAAGAGACCTCAAAGACCATTCAGTACATCATTGCCTTCTTTTTGAAATGAAAACACTGAAGCTCAAATAGATTCCATGGCTCAGATAACTCCTCATCCAGGTGATGAGTTACTGGCTAGGGAGAAGGGGGAGAAGATGAAGAGAGAAGGGCTTAAATGTGGAAGAAATCCCCTTTAAAAAAATCATATTAATTTAACTGTGTTTACTGTGCTGTAGATGAGAAACTAGTTTCCCACACTCTCCCACCTATATTCTTTTCCACTTCCCTTGCTGAGAGATGGAGAAATGAAGATGGGGCAGAGGTTGCATAGTGAAGTTAAAACTTTCTCCAAATAATCCAGGATTTAATTTTTGTTTCATACAGTCACACGACTAGAGACAGCTCCGTGTGTGTGTGTGTGTGTGTGTGTGTGTGTGTATACACATTTTAGGTTCTAAAAGGTCTTTGGTCATTCTAGGTAATCTGGAGTGTATAGAGGAGATTAGATTTACTAAGAAGTGCACAAAAGCCTGGTGAATTAAACAGGGTAGGAGCAAGTAGAGAAAAAGAAATGAGAGTCAGAGGAGAAATAAAGTTGTATGTTTATTTTGAATTCTGCTTTTAGAAAATAACAGCTAAGCCTTTCCTTGTAGCATCCTCTCTGCGGAGCATGAATTCTTAAGCAGGAGTCCGTTGACAGATCCCAAAGTCCTAAAATTCTTTGTAATTCTATCTAGAGACTGTCACACAAAGTAAAGTCAGAAAGAGAAAAGTAAATATCATATATTAATGCATACATGTGGAATTTGAAACAAATTGGTGCAGATGATATTCTTTGCAAAGCAGAAATAGAGACCAAGGGGGAACAAAGAGGAACAAGGGGTGCTGGCATGATTTGGGAGATTGAAATTGACATATATATATACTATGTATGTGAGTGAAGTCACTCAGTCGTGTCCAATTCTTTGCGACCCCATGGACTGTAGCCCACCAGGCTCCTCCATCCATGGGATTTTCCAGGCGAGAGTACTGGAGTGTGTTGCCATTTCCTTCTCCAGGGGATCTTCCTGACCCAGGGATCGAACTCAGGTCTCCCACATTGCGGGTAGACGCTTTACCGTCTGAGCCACCGGGGAAGTTCCCCATGCACTATGTATAGTCACTATGTATAAAATAGACAGCTAGTTGGAAGCTGTTGTATAGCATAAGGAACTCAGTGCTCTGTGGTGACCTAAATAGGAAGGAAATCCAAAAAGGAGGGTGTACATGGATATGTGTGGCTGGTTCACTTTGTTGTACAACAGAAACTACCGCAACATTGTAAACCAACTACCCTACAACAAAAATTTTTAAAAAAAGATATGGATAGGTCTTTTGTCTAGGTAGAAGTTTCATAGAACTCATCAGATTCTTAAAGGTATCTGTGATCCAGGAAAGGTGATGAAGCACTTAACAATTGGTTTCCAATGTTGTTGGGATAAATTGTCATACCTTACCAGCCAAGGCCTTTTGCAAACTCACCCCAATCCCCACTCCTCACCCAATCTCCCACCACTTGATACTGGAAATCTCCCAATGGAGCCAAGCCCGTGGCGGCTTGAATGACTGTCACCTTCTGCACTTTCCTTCCCTAAGAGCTTTGATTCTCTAATAGCCACACAATTTAAAATTCTATTCTCAAGCACTTTTCTTAAGTCTAAACCCAAACCACCATTTAAGACTCCCTTAAGCCTCAGAAAAAACTTTATATTTTTCCTTCAGATTTTAGAAAACCTTATATATTATTATCTGTATTTATCACACTTAAAATGTATTTAATTTATGATGTACACATTTTTTTCCTCAATATATTTAAAATCGATATAGATAAGAACTGCCTCTTACATGACTGGGTATTTCTCTGTTATCAAGGAAAATGATAATCATATAGTATATTCTCAACCATTCTCTGGTGAAGTCAATAAATACTTGTTGAGCCCCTCCTGTGTATCAGGCTGGATTTCTAGAAGTGAATATACCTGGCAGGAATTATTCTACATTCAAGTGCAGAAGATGGATAAATAAGATTAATTAAATGTACAATATAGTGAGTGCTAAGGAGAAAAATATAGAGCCACTAAGAGGAATAGGAAATGATTCCATGTACACTTGTTTTGGGGGCAGGCAATTTTAGATGGGAGAAGGGAAGGGAAGAACTCATCAATGTGACTTTTGAGTAAAGACCCAAAAGAAGTGGAGGAGTGAGCCATGTCAGTGTCTAGGGGAAGAGAATTCCAGGCATAGGGAACAGCAAGTGCAGATGCAGGAAATGATCTAGCCTGTCTGAGGAATATGAGGAGGGAGGCAAGAAGTAAAATCAGAGAGTTAATGGGGAGCCAGACCATGTAGGGTCTTGTAGGTCACAGTTAAATCAATGAATTTTACTCCCCCAATACGAGGGATTTGAGAAGGTTATGATGGAACATTTTACCAGATCACTGCAACAACTCTGCTGAGAATAGATTTAACAAGGGCAAGGGTGGGAAGAAGGAAGCAGTTAGAAAGCTAATGGAGTGATCTGTGCAGGCTAAGAGGGGGTTTGGATTACCGTACTAGCAGTGAGGAAAATGTGAAGTGGCCAAATGATGGATATATTTCCACCTAACTTCTGTGAGGGTGAAAGAGTCATCAAAGTTGACCCCAAGGTTTCTCTACTGAGCTCCACAAGTTTGACCTTGTTATTGATTGTTGAGGAAGGGAGAACTATAAGACAAGTAGGTGAGGTGGGGTAGTGCAGATGGGGATGAATATCAGAAGCTCACTTTTGGACACTTGAGTCCTGCCATGACTCTCAGTAGAGATACTGAGTAAGCAGATGGATGTGAGTCTGAAGTTGAGGCAAGAGGTCTGGGCAGGGCTTGTAGAATTAGAAGATACCAACAAACAGCTGCTCTTTAAATCCATGAGATTGGATGAGATGAACACATTTTTCTTGCTTGGATAAGAGAGAATCAATTCCACTTTGTTTTCTTCTGAATCTTCTATTGTAATTGTGCCTGGTCTGAATGAGAACTGTCATTGAGGAGTAATGAAGAGGAACACTCACCTCTTAAGGAATGTGGGCATGGGTTGTCTGTCAATCAAAAATCAGAATTGAAGTGAATCTCATGAAACATTTTCAATCAGTTTATATTTGTCTTTTTATTTGTGTGTGTTTCAGGCCAGACCTGTTTGATTGGAATAGTGTGGTTTGCCAGCAGTCAGCCACACAACGACTGGAACATGCATTCAACATTGCCAAATATCAGTTGGGCATAGAGAAACTACTGGATCCTGAAGGTTGGTGCATTTCTAAGCTGCGACTGTTTTTAGTGCAGTTTAAAGTTTATCATCTCAGACTTCACATTTCCACAAACTAAGCACAAACTAGAACCTGTGCATTGTGTTTTTCTGTATTCCAGGTGTATTTAAAATGTTTTGCCTTCCTGAAATGTATTATGCATCGTCACATATGATCTTAGTTCTCAAATCCCAATATCTGAAACCAAAATATACAACTTTAGAAAAAGACACAAGCCTTTAGAATGTGTATGCTTCACAGATGAAGTATACTGTGTTTAGAGTTCACTGACTCCAAATAATTATAAAAAGTTCATGTTTTGCTTATTCTACCAAGAGATTTGATACACTAATCAGCTATAATTAATTAGCTACTCTTGGCACTTTCATTCATATATTGTATAAAAGGCAACATGGTTTACTGTTTAAATCAGGGAATCTTTTCCTGATGCTGATTCTGTTGTAATAGGTCACTGTGGGGGAAGTCCTCCATTGAATGATTATTCATTTTCTGCTTCTTTAGTTAGTGGGCAGCACTGTATTTATGGGGTCTTTCCTGTAGCTCAAACGGTAAAGAATCTGCCTGCAATGCAGGAGACCCAGGTTCGATCCCTGGGTCAGGAATATCCTCTGGAAAAGGGAATTACAGTCCACTTCAGTATTCCTCCCTGGAGAATCCCATGGGCAGAGGAGCCTGGCAGGCTACAGTCCATGGGATCGCAAAGAGTAGGACATGACTGAGCAACTAACACTACTACTACTGTATTTATATTTTTATATTACACTTAAGTAAATTCCATCCTTATGTTTGGTGCTACATAGTCATATCTACAAACACGTGGATTAGAGGGGTAATAATTCCTGACCTCTGCTTTTCTTCTAGCCTATGAGGCACTTTTTAATCTGCCAACTTCTTTGGAATTGCAAGCTATATTCTCTTTACTGAGGCTTTACCACACTCTAAACCCAGACGTTGGAGAAGCTGTATCGGTGGGATTGATTATCTGTGATATATTAATAATTCAAGCTGATATTTGGGTAGGGTTATATAATTCTTCTGTCTTGGGAATATTGAATCAGTCCCAAATCAGGAGATCCTTGAGTGGTGATCATGGGTCCCATCAGGAAAAGTTCCCCAAAAACTCAGAGGATATAGCCTTTCACTGGTGAATTTATCATCAACCAGAATCTATTACTTAGTGTTATAGACCCAGAAACCTGATTGCCTTATCTTATTCATAGCAGACCCATAGTGATGGGGGAGTTAATTTTAAACAAGATGAAAAAAAATGACAATCAAAATGGAAGCTCAGATATTATAAATGAGATATTTAACAATCACAAGGACCAGAATACTCATATGTAATTGACCCCTGTATATGGACTTGGGAAGGGAAAATTATAGCAATGCAAATGTGTTTGTGAAGTTGGAATCAGATTAAGTACACTAGAAATGTTTCCTCTCCTTTAGATAATACATACCTCTAACCTCTTCTTATTGCTTCAATAGATGGTCAGTGTCTTGGTTTAGCTCTAAGGGAGAAATTGTATCAATCATATTTCCTTGTCTTGAAAGGTGGGGGAGGGTTACCTCACTATTAACTCCTAGTACCAATATACGTGATTTTTCATACTCCAGTGAGGTAGAGAGGCAGACAAAATGAAAATATGAACTCTAGTCCCTGAGGATGAGAGCTATAGTGTGTGAAGCTGAAGGATAAGCCTGTTAACAGTCTTTTTTGTTGTTGTTATTGTTAAATCTGCATATGGTCATTTCTTTTGTCTGAGATATATGCTCAAGTTATTCTTGTGTGTGCCCTCTCCTTTCATAAAATAGTAAGTTTAAAATAGATCTTTTCCTGTTGAGTTATAAAATGGCTTTTTATCTCTAAGTCCTCCTTTGAATAGTGAAGTAAGGGGATCCAGAATAGACATCCACATCATAATCGGAAAGTAGATTGATATGCATATAATCAGAAAAAGGCAGTTAAGTAATGTATTTTATAGCATAAAAGAGCCTGATATGCCCAATTCCATATTCCTACATGGCAAGTGTGTGTCGAAATGCACATCATATAGGCTTGTAGGAACACCCTCAACACAGTGAAGCAATTATCCTCCAATTAAAAATAAATAAATTTAAAAACAAAGGGAAAAAATACCTCAAACCTGACAATTTGAAGTCAACCAAATGCAGTATGAAATACAAGCTGATTAATAAAGATCAAACCACTGGTTATAGTTTCATTTTACCAATGAACTCTTGGATCTGAAAGCTTTTGCTATTTATGGACTCCCTTTCAAGTCAAAGAGCATTCTATTTCCTAAAATGGTTTATTAAAGTATTTTTATGGATTTCAATAAGGTAAGGATTCAGTATAAATCTTTACATTTTTTAGCTATCTATCAGTTCCCGGCAGTGTGTTAGGGAAATACTCAAATGTGCATTCAAAGACTTAAGTCTTAGATTGTAAGAGACACCGTTCTGTCTTTGCAATTAACTAATTAGAAAATAAAAATCCTTATGATTTAGGTAATTTTTTCTTTTAATTATCATTGATATCATCTCTTGAAAATACATTGAGCTATAATTTTTTTAATGCACATTTTTATATTTCCCTAACACACTGGCAGACTCATAGACTTCTTGCATGCCCTGTATAGTAATTACCTTTGAGAAGTCCATATTTTTATTTAACCACATATTGGTTCTTTAGCTTATACATGATGATTTCAGCTATTTTTCAAAGCAATTTTCTTTTCATATCTAATATGCCCCTTAGGAGGCTAATGAAACAGTCAGCTTTACATTTGGGGAGATATTTATTATTGGGAGATAGAGGTTAAATTTGGTTTAAAGAAATACCTACCCAAAAATGTCTTTAGAATTTTAAACATATGCTTTGTTGATTGGGTTGCTTTACAAATTAAACAAGTCATTGAAATATAATTTGGAGCTTTTCATATCTTGTGTGTATCGACTTTGGTATGCTTCGTTTGACCTTAACTGTTGTTTTGAGGCCTGAGGTTTGGTTTTAAGTGGAATTGCCTTTTAAAATGAGTAGCAATAGGCATTAGCATAACCAATTTCAGGAGCTGTTTCTGGTAGTTTAAATGTTAACATATGCAAAAATAAGTACAACTAAGGTAAAATTATTTAATACTTTATGCGTCTTTATGCTCATAGATATAAAAGGTTTATCTCCTTCCAAACATATCCTATTGCGAGTCATTTGATTCACTTTCTCTTATGATTTCCCTATAAGACACACACAGTAGTGCTTTGTGGGTTTCATATGCATTGTTTGCTTCCCTGAGTTTCAAACAAATTGGTTTGTTTGCAAATCCACACACTACTTTATGCATTAAGAGAATGCTTTGTCAGCTTTTCCTTGTGAATAGCAAAGTGAAGATGCTCTTCTTAAAGACATTAAAAAAAAAAAAACAAAATCGGGGATAAAAATGTGTGCCGGTTCTAGATGACTTTTGACTATAGTAAGTCATTTCCATCTAGGATGTGCAAGATGATGCTCACATCATCCATAGTTTACCGGACTGACTTTAAATGAAAAATGAATGACAATAATAAAATTTGATGAACACTAGGGCTTTCAAGAAATATTTATGACCTCAAAATGACATTAACAAGCCAATTAGTTTGGTTTTAATCCACTTCATTTTCCCAGGGTGAGGATGGTGACACAGATTCTATTTTCTGCCTGGCTAATCCGTACATCACTCTTGAGTTGCTTTTAGAGTCTACTTTTCCAAGAATTAGCTCTGCTTTTTGAAAGTTTTCTTCCTGAATGAATGGTCTCTGACTTCACTTGACCTGCATGCAGTTGATTAGTCTTCAGAAAGTAATCAAGAGAAGATATATAGCTTTTGTTGTAAATGAAAGTCCTTAAGGCTTCTTTTTAGGTGGCTTGAGCAAGTAGTGTGCTTTTTTTGCTTCTATCCTTGTTCCGTTCATCACATTTTCATCCCATTAACAATAAGAATGCTAATAAGTAATTTACACTCAGCTAAAATGGAAAGAGAAAACCAACTCAGATGGATCTTGTTGATGTAAATAACTTGAGCTTTTTATGAACAGGCACACTCATTTCATATCATTTAGATTGTTTTTTTCTAGAACCCATTGTGGAATACCTTGGTTTTCAGAGAATGTAATGAGGTTGAAATATACTGGTATTCCTTATGTGTATAACATTTCAAGTAGAAGTTATTCTTGTAAATATATGACACACTTTACCACCAAACTCTCTGCAGTGCAAAATGTTCTTTTTCCCCATATATTAAAGTATTTTAATAGTACATCTTGAGTTAAAATGGCCATTGCCTTTTTAATGGCAAAGCAACAAAATATATATATTATTTTGTATTGTTTTGTATTACTGATTAATATTGTTATCTCTGGCACAGTGTCTTTAGAGATATTATAAATTGTAATTATCTAATAGGAAATCTCAAGTTTTTTGGATGACAGTTCTTAGTCAACCTATTTTGCTATGGAAAATAGAAAATGTCATCAACTGCTTTTACAGATATGATAATAACAGAATAGTTGTCCTATTAGATCAATAGGAGACCAGTTTTTCCAGGGTTTCTTTTTAAAGGAACCATTACAATTTGATCATTAGAGCCGAATTATATCATTTAATGGTGTTAAGTAATAATAATGAAAATATTTCTTTAATTTTGAACTTCAGTAGATTGCAGTTGAAATGAGTAAATTAGAGATGGCATTATTGTGTCAGCAAAGGAATGGGCTACATTAGATTTAGTGTTGGCATCTTATTTGCTTAATGTATATTCAGCACAACCTTTTAGTAAAGGAATTTGGGAAATATTGTGTTAAATAATTTAAATATACACTTTGATTAGCATTGATTAGAACAGAAACTAGCACTGACACATAATTAGAAAAACTGATGGCCAGTGTTGAAGTCCAGAGAAATGTCATTAACATATTTCTAGCCTGCATATCATTAGAGTAA